TCAGGCTATATTGATCCTAGACATGATTACATAACTGCCCAGGTTTAACTGCAATGTCCAACCTCCAATTACTTTTATTTTGTTCTTCTTATGATTCTTGTTCTAGTATGTACATATTATGAATATATATTTATACTTTTATAACATAATTTTATATATATATATATATATATATATATATATATATATATGATTGTTTTTTTGTTTTTTTGTTTTTAAAGTATAATTCTTGGTCAGAGTGTTTTTATCTCAATATGTTTATAGTTGTATATCTTTTATGATTGATATACTAAGTTCACTATAAACAAGGCTCTGATACAAATCTGTCACACCCCCAAAACAGAACGTCGGAAACATTCGGGGGCGGATGATGTTATGCAAGTATCACAACAATGCATTATAGTAATCAAAGTACAGCCAACCATTGCTTTAATAAGTATCAGTTTTACATAAGTGTTTTAAACATTACATATTCTAAAACATCAAGGAAAATACAAAAAACAACAGGAGTCGCAATCCAATGCTAAGCAGTCTTCTCAAAACTTCGAGGCGTACCTGTCTACTAGAACCCTAAGAATACAACTAAGTTTTGAAAGAGTACTAGCATAAAGCTGGTGAGTTCATAAGCATTTTGTCTTAGGAAAATAGTTCTCGGTTCTTTTGAAAAAATGCAATATCTTTCCCGAAAAATCTCATACACTCCGGTGAAATAAATATATAAACCTCAAGAAAACTGACTCCTTGATATCAGTTGAAAGTGCTCCTCAAGAAAATCCCATATTTTGTCATGAAAAGCATGATTAAACACATTTCTTCAATGACTTCTTGGTTCAGACTAGTTATGTATAAACCAACACTGGATAGACAGTTAATTGTGTGGATCTGCCCTAAACCCACAATAAAACAAGGAATAAGGAATGAGGTAGAAACCACACATTCCACAGTCTATCAGGTATTCTTCAAACATAACCCAGATGTATAAAATAAGGAATCATGGAATAAATAATGAAAGTTCGTTAGTTGAATAATAGACCATCTGTTTATAAAATACTGATGATTACCCTGGGAAATCCTATATTTCCCTTAAGTGAAAACTATTGAATTACTCGTTCTAAATCAGAAAGTATAAGTATCTACCATACTTATATTGGTTAAGCAGAGTTCCCTTTTTAAAACCCTGGCTACTTCCAACGACGTAAATTAGTGTTATTACATAAATAAAACTAATTGAAAACATGGTGATCTGATTTCCTAAAAGTATTACTAATACCCTCCAGTGATCACTTAGTTACTAACTCTAAAGTTAGTTTATTCGATCTATTATTATTATGTAAAAGAGTCGTACGATTGGCGAGTTTTATGACCATACTTAAACTTGATACGATGTTAAACGGACACCAATATCATTTATGACATTTGTCACCCGTAGACCTGCAGGTCTGACTGTAGGTAGCAGCTAGGTGCGGGATAGTCAGTCCCGTATAGATCTATACACAAAAGCCACGCTTTCCCTCCAGGAAATTCTTGTTCATAAAGGTAGTCCTCCACTTAGTTAATGTTGTAAGTGCCCAAGGATGCGTCTCCCAGTTAAGTTAACGACTTTATGAATAATAATACAGGAAAACCCTTTTGTTATTAATACGAATCTTTATAAGATAGTATCTTTGGTTTCATGATCCGTAAGTTTATTTCCTTAGTAAATGGCTTTTGCATGGTTCATATTCTAACGCGTTGTGTAAAATTGATTTCTATATTTGTTGTATATTGATAACAGTAATATATTAAACAAAGTAATATATTTGAACACAAGATTACTTGTGCTTTTACTTTTACCCCCCCCCCCCCTCCCCTTTGAAAACATTTAAAAACTCAAAAAAATGTAGGGGTATGAACTCACAGTTTGACGTGGGATTTGAAGGTAAGTCGGTAGGAATGCTGAGTGCCAAAAGAAACCTCGGACACAAACGGATCTTATTTAGCATATAGTAGCACATACATGTATTAGATGAGGGCATACCACTATTACTTATGGAAGGAAATCACCTTAGGGACTAGGAAACACTTGAAACTAAGTGTTAGAATTACATATGATTTGAAGATGGGAGTTTACGACCGTAAAAGGGTTTTTGGCCCAATGGTTTGTGGCCCAAGTGTTTGCGGTCCATGGTTTACAGCCCATGAGTTTATGGCCGTAAACACTAGATGAAAAGTGTGATTTGTAATGTTTCTAGGTCCTTTCTAGCCTCTTGGAAGTATTCTAAGTCCCTTTCATAGCTAAAAGGGGTGTTTAAGGTCAATCTTTGACCAAATACTAGGTTTTACGACCAATGAGAGGTGTACGGCCGTACACATGGGTTTACGGACATAAACCTTTCGTGTTCATGCATTTTAGGCCGATTTCTAGGTGAAAATCAAAGGTTTCTTAGTAGATATCAAGCATACAAGGTAGTTACTTACTATTAGGAAGCTTAGGATGAGGTTTTTAGCCACCAAGAACTAGTGTGTGTTCTTGGTGTTCTTGGTGAAAGATGAAAATCTAGCAAATGATGAAATTTATGAGATGAAACATGGATTCATCACTAGATAAGAGATTGAAACATAATCAAGGTGAAGAATCACTTACATTCTTGAGGATCCTTGAGCCAAATTCGATGGATGTAAAGAGAGAGTAGAGAAAGATAGTCTTTGAAGTTGGTAAAGTGTGAAATGAAGGCTAAGCATCCCTTATATAGGGTGAGTTTTCGACCAAGGGTGGTGGGTGGGGGTGTACGATCGTAAACTCGATTTTGCAGCCGTACACTCCTCTCGAAGGGGTTTTCGGCCCGAATGCTACGATATGACTAGAGAAAACTAGCTCTTGGACCCAAACCTTGATTGTACTGAGCTTAGAATATCCAGTTAGACCCAAAATAATACTAACGAGAACAGAAACAAATCCGAATTGATTTATTTTTGAACGGTTTGAACAAAAGAAATTTTGGGTTGTCACATTCAAAATGCATGCAGGTACATTTGTATGAACCCTCTATTGTTTAGTGTGTAACCTGGAATATGTATGATAAAAAATGAGTTTTAGTTATAAAGTCTTGTTGTGTGATTAAAAAAAATAATTATATAATATAGTAATAACGTACCATGTATTGGGTATCCTTTGTAAGACAATCGTAATCGTATTCCTCAAGTTTGTCATCAACAACAGGACTTGATGGTTGCCTTGTGGTTATGCTCTTTTGCTTCTCCAATATAATAATAGTGTCAACACCATTATTAGAAGTAACACTCATTTGGAAACAAGTATTGTCAGAATCTGAAATCTCTTTCTGCACCTGATAAAATGTTTTACGAGTGTAGACCTTTGAAGCATGTGGTTCAATTGGAATATATGTGATGAATCTTGGAAGTGTTGTAGTAGTGTTAAAGTCGTTGACAAATTGATTATGCCTTTGACGTTCCATAACACCCTAAAATTTCATCATAAACATTAAAAGATAAGAACCAGTAAGGGTGTTGTTATAAAAACAACCAATTTTGGCCTTTTGACAATGATGTAGTTCTCATAAGACCAGACATCGGTATGTCCTTGAAAAATGTAGGTACCCAACGTCTACGCAACCCATACATCTCTTGCATCCACTTGTTATTTGAAATGTTAAACTCACATAAACAAGATTTCCATGCCTTTTCAAAATCACGTGGTTCCAGCTTAGAATTCCAAATAATAGAGTGAAAACGCTTTCGAAAAGCTAAGTTTGTGGCTAGTTGCGTTGTTATCTAAATAAAAAAAATACAGATTAGTGTAAAATATATAATCGTGGTATACAATGAATGATGGGTATGAATGGTATAAACATGAAGTCTCAAAGAAATTAGAATACTATTCTAGCATAACAACCTTTTAAAGTGTAATTCTGCCATATCATTTGTTCTGAAAGAATTATCTTCTGATCAAACGATATGTAGTAACAATGTATCATTTGTTCTGAAAGAATTATATTCTGATTGAACGACATGAACTAACAAGGTAAACATAGTGACATTGTTTTGAATATAAATAAAATATTCACCTTGTTTGCCAGTTTTTTTGTAATATGCCACATACAAAACTGTGTACTGATATTGGAAATACTTCATTAATAGCCTTGTTTAAAGTTGGATCTTGATCTGTAAGAACAAGCGTAGGTTGTTTTTAGGTTGTTTTTTGAATGCTTTCAAAAATGATCTAAGCAGTCAAGAATAAGAACTACCATCTTCTCTACTCAAAAGACGTGCACCAAAAGTCACACATTTCTTATGATTATCTATCCCAGTGAACGGTACGAAAACCATATCATATATGTTTACAAAAATAAAAATTGGTAAGCGTTATTCGAAGCAAGAAAATTTTTGTGATAACATTGAAAAATTAAAAAATACTTATTCATGCTAAATGTGGCATCCAGAGACACAACGTCTCCAAAAGCATTGTAGTTGTACTTTGTAGTTTCATCAGCCCAAAAACTCGAATTCAATTTTTTCTCAAAAACTTTAAACTCGAAAGAAAAACTTGGGATATTTTTTTTTCCTTTCCAGCATCTTCACTACAGGGAATTTTGCATCCCTGTAACCTATATAAGAATTGAGATTTATCGTACTGTTCTGGAAATCAGAAACCAACCCACCTCGAATGTTAGAACCACCCTGAAGTCCGGTAAACAACTTATGTGCTCTTGAGGCACCAATATTTTGCTTTGACAAATTATGAATAAACATCTCCTGTGAATAATCAAGTATCTTCTTTGTAAGAGACAAAAACATATTGTCCTTACGAAACAACTCATGATTATGTTTTTCGACAAATTCAGCAACAATATATTTTTTTAGTACCATGTACTAGAATAAAAACAATTTTTGTTATGCATTCGCACCTAAATGAGTCTTTCCTTCTCTGAACCTTATTATGTTGAGGGTCTAAAGTATCCACTTACCGGTTCTTGGTTTCCCTTCCTATTGCATAACAAATGTCATTGTGTGATAATGTCGGATTCGGTGGTTCTAATTGGTCCAAGCCTGACATCAAAGTCTGCTAATGATGCGTAATTGTAATACATTGATAATGTTGCACTATATGAATCAACATTTGAATTGATTTTAGGTTTGATGTGGTCTGAAACAACAGGAATCCAATAAGATGATCCACCAGGAGAAACATAATCATGTGTAACATGAGATTGTTCTGCATCAAAAAAAAAAGGATGAACGTTTAAAATAAAATAAAAAATCTTCAAAGAATTAATCTAGTGTATTAAACATTTTACTTATTCGTATACTAACCTTTCTGAAAATCAATGTTATCATCGGCTATAGTATAATTTGTCAGATTATCATTGAACTCGAATTCGTTTTCTGCATCTTTTAATTATAATATGTGTAATGGAGGCTGTAATGGATTAGTAAATATATGTATAAAAAATACTTTAAATACATCACCTCGGTTATGATTACTACAATCACCGAAATGATATTCGAAATTGTCATATGTATGATCTTGAATGTGTTCTAATGAATCCTCATCTTTGCAGGTGTAAGTTACGCCATATTGCAAAAACCAATATAAAAGTTAAACATTATTATTATAAAAATCAACAAGTATAAAAACTTATAAAGTAAATTCACCTAAATTTAGATTGCTATTCTCGGATATTTGAAAATCGATATTATGTAGAGAATCATGATCAGCTAACCCGAAATCATCATAATGATGTGGATAATCCTTAGGATATTCATGTTGATCATGAACATAATCGTCACCAGCTGATAGTGTATCATCCTTAAGATAATTTACAACACGATTGAACATCAGTTGATTGGAGAAAGCAAACTAAATTCAATATTACAAAATTTGAGCCAATTCATTATAAATTAGAAAAGGAGAAACCATGTAATTGTATGTGTGTGTGTATATATATATATATATATATATATATATATATATATATATATAAGTGTTCAATAATAAATCATTTTAAACCTTAGAACCAAAGAACCAGTTGTTTCTCAACTTTAAGAGTTTATTTAAAAAAACTAAAACTATATAAATTAATAACTTTTTATCGTCTTTCTATTGATATCACATTCGATATAATTTTTTTTACTTGTTTAATATATTCAGATTCATACTGTAAATCTGCACAGATTCACAGATCAAAAAAGTAAATAAAAAATTATATTGAATTTGATATCAATGGAAAGATGGTAAAAAAATTTAAATTTCTATATTTTTAGTTTTTTTTATAAAAAAATAAGCTCTAAAAATTTAAAAAATATCGGTTTCTTGGTTCTAAGGTTTAAAATAGTTCTTTGTTGAACCTAACCATATATATATATATATATATATATATATATATATATATATATATATATATATATATATATATATATATATATATAAAAGATACTTAATATGCTTTATACCGGATAAATATAGTTAAATTCGGAGCTGGGAAGAAAACGAAAAAGATTGAGAAAAGAAAGAAGTTGAAAAAGTTCAAAATCAAATTTTCCAAAACATCTGGTTTTAACGGCACGTAGATTAAAGATATCCACATGAAGAAGCTTTATAATCCGAGAACAATTGGGAAGGATTAGCTAACCAAATGGTGTTTGGTTTAATTCTTATGAAAATTAAGATTAATCACTGGACTAATTCATTAATTATTCGATATTTAAATTGATTATTTAGTAACTACTTGCATGAACATTATATTAGTTACTTTACAATTTATAGCTAGATGTGAAACCCGTGTATTATACGGGTTGATTTAAAAAGTTAAATATAAGGTGTAGATATTAAGTATTTTCTAAAGTACAATTTTGAAATAAATATAAATGAAATGATTAATACGTAATTCAATCTATACTAATAAAAAAATATTATCATGTTTAAAAAATTATGTTGAATATGAATGTGTAAAAATTAAGTACTTTTTAAAATAAATTTTCGAAATAAATAAAATAAATAGAATAAACGACAATGATCATTTATGTAAATTGTCTTAATTATTCTATACTAATATTAGTTAACATAAATTCACAAATTGAATTCATTAAATAGAAATAAAAATTCACAAATAGAAGGTTTACTGTATACATTAATTCACATTAATTGTTATGAGGTGACATTTATTAGGTGGAAGTTGAATAAAAATGAAAAAAATATATATATAAAAATGACAAGTGGAAAAAAAATAAAATTAAAAATTCTAAGAAAATTACATGTGTCAAATTCAATAAGGTGTCAAATTCAATAAGAAGTTGACATTTGGTAAAATTATCTTTATTTATTAGGGTAGATTATTAAAATTTGTGAATTGCCCAAGATTGCTAATTACCTTACAAATCCGTAATCACTTTATTAAATCCATAGCATTTTTAATAACTTAACTATAGGAAATATGTGAATTCAAAATCTAAGTAGAACTTCAAAATTGTTGTGTTATTCCGTTCTTTGCATTGTTTTATTGTTTTAATTGATAGTTAAAACCATGTTTAAAATAACTAAACAACCCCCCTCCCCTTTATTTTTCTGTTATTACAAGGATTTAATGTAATTCAAAATATACATGTTTCCCAAGTGTTCGACGCCCTTATTTACTAGTATTATAATGTTGTGCGACAGGTACACTGCATGTAAGTGTTTGACAATTTATTGACATAAGGATTTAAAAATTTTAAAATATATATATATATATATATATATATATATATATATATATATATATATATATATATATATATATATATATATATATATATATATATATATAAGTAGTTCAAAATTATTATTTTATTCGGTTCTTTGCTTCGTTTTATTGTCTTAATTGATAGTTGAAACCACGCAGAAAATATAACTAAATAAATTCCTCCTTTTTATTTTTCTATTATTTGAATAATTTAATCTGTTTCAAAATATATATGTCCCCCAAGAGTTCGACGTCCTTATTTGCTAATATGATACTCCTATGTGACATGTACACTGTCTGTAAGTGTGTGACAGTTTGAGATAATTTAGGATTTAAAATTTTAAAACTATGTGTGTTTATATAAATATATATATATATATATATATATATATATATATATATATATATATATACACACACACACATACATACATACACACACACAAAATCATATATCATTTATTTATATGATGATCAAGTAAATTCACTTCATTTTTTAAAACATCAAAAAGTCCTTTGTCGGTAATAGTTACATCTATAAACCCTAAAAAGATTTTTCAGTGCAAACAAAACTCAATGAGACATCTACATAACTTAAAATCAAGGTCATTTTCTTTTAGTGACTTATGTCGTCGGTATAACCAAGTACTATAAAAAAATATTATGGTTTATGTTTAATTTTTTTAATAATCTTAGATTTAATTTCACGAGAAAGAAAAAGTATTAATTTATTTTGCATCTTATGCCCAAGATGATGATTATAGATACCTTTTTCATTTGTTGTATGTTTAAACATACTCATAAGCAAGCATGGCAAACTCATTAGACACACAAAAAGATAAGTTATGTTTAGCAAAAAATTTGACAACAAAAATAATTCTCAATAAATGCTTTCTTAAATGCTCTTTTTTTCTATTTGTTTTTTAGTTGCATTATAAATAGTTTATTTTTTGTAATCTTAAAGGCAAACCATACCAAATGTTTATATATTTCACATGTTTTATACTACATGTTTTATACTAGTTTCATTCTCTTTAAATTTAGTGTTAGGATGTATCCAATCCCCCAAGCCATCATTTGCTACTTGATTCTTTCCACACACTTGTCTAAATATTTTACAACAAAAGCAAAATATTTTATCAAGTTGTTAGAATAAACAAATTAATCTATATCATATATATATATATATATATATATATATATATATATATATATATATATATATATATATATATATATATTCATTTGGTAAAACTCTAGTACAATAGTACAATATAAAGTAGAAAATATTCTTAAATATCTACCTTTGGGAAAAATTTCAATTGATGAATCTCTAATGCTAAAATATTTATCATGTTAGAGTCAACTACTTTCTAATTTCCTGGATCAAATATATCGAACGTGCTAAAATAACTTGCATCATCAAAACTATCATCACTAACATTAATTAAAATCATCAATATTAACATAATTAACATTAGCATCATTATTAACAATGTTTTTTTTCATTTGTTTGTTTTATTATAAACTTATCCATAAATTATTTTTGAGATTTAGTAAATTATTGACTCTTTTTTGTTTGTTTTTCATATCTAGATTCATATTTTTTATATTCCAGGAAGTATATTGCTTTTTGATTTAACATAGTTGTATTTTTCATTCTCATGTCTTAGTTCTTAATTTTCAATAGACGGAATCTGAAAAACAAAATATAAATCATAACACCAAATATGTAAACAAAATTAGGAAAAAAGTTAATGAAATAGTGAAAGATTGTAAAGAAAATAAATAAATTTTCCATCCAAAATTATAATACCACTCGCTAGAGTCTATTTGAACACATGTTTATAAAACATTTATACGTTTCAAATCTTTCATTTAAAAGCTGTAAAAAATAAAATTTAATTCACTAAAAATCCATTAATAAATTCTCAATCAAAGTAAAAGGTTGCAGAAAATAGTATGGTCCCAGTCTCAGAACTTTTATGGTTAGAACATGTGTATTGCAAACATACACCATATAGTCATCAAGGAGCATATTCCAAAAGAAAACTGAGAGGATGTAAGAAGGAGTGTGTTCCAAATAAGCATCTCCAAAGTCCAAATAATAGCCTATACATTCATGAACCATCACTTGAATGCCACAAAAATGGTAGTTAACTCGCTTATACATAGCAAGGATTTTCTAGAGTCGCTCACTATCATCATACATCATAATAGATAATCTCGTATGGATATAATAGGGGACTCACATGGGCACCCATCCCAGAATGTATGTACACTTTTAATACCTCGAATCATAAAATATCATTTCATCATAAATGTAACGATCCAAAACTCACGACTGAAAATTTTCTTTAAATATTACTAAAACCATATTTATAAAAGCCATGTCATAATTCATAACATACATTCAGAGTATTAATTCAAAACATATTCTTGTTATCAGAATAAAACATCCTAGGCTGTTTAATTAATGGTGTTTGCCATGTGATCACCCCGAGCTCTTCCCTCCGCTACCAGAAGTACCTGAAACCAAAACTGAAAACCGTAAGCACAAAGCTTAGTGAGTTCCCCAACCTACCATATACCCTGCACAAACACATATAACACATACTGGGCCACGCCCGCTATTTCAGGCATCACCCCTACCTCGGGCCTTGCCCGCTACAACGGCCCTGCCGCTCCAGACCCCGCCTGGCCTCGAGCCCCGCTCGGATACAAATCTGTTTCTTTTAGGCCCCGCCCGCTAACCACATAATACAAAAATAGCATATAACACACAACTAAACATACCCTAATGTACTCCTGTCCTAAGGCCTCGCATGTCTTGGGCCTCACCCTTATCATGTTACTAGTAAGTCATGGAACCCCGTCCAAGCTCCTACTGTAAGTGAGATACGCCCCTACCCCCCCCCCCCGCCCACACTAACTCCATACCTAACTCGGGCCTCGCCCCTGCTCTGCTACTAATGAGATATGGAACACCATCCATACTTTGCTATTGGTGAGATACGGGACCTCGCCCACACTCACCTCCCTACGAGGCACATACATGCATCACACAAACAACAAGTATACTCTATCATGCAAACCACTCCTTGGGCACCCGCCCGAC